TCTTCTAAACAACATCAGAGCTGGTACAGAACTTATAAAAAAGGAAAGCCTCTCTTAAAAAAATCCTGTGAGAATAGTAATAGTTTTTCTATATTCTTGTGCCCGATTTGCATTTAGTATTCTTTTATTTTACCATGGATTATTATTATTATTAATACATTTTATTATGTCATTCTTTACAGTCAGCTTTTTCTACTAAGTTCATGTTAAAAATCAGAGTTATATTCACTGCCACTCTGGTACATTCCACCTGCAGACTATGAGTCTTTGGGGAAGACATAAATCCTATCGTAAAATTCCTTTTCATTTCCAATGTACTACTTACGGAGCTGTTGCCAAAGGCCTCTACCCCCTTGGGCCAACAAGAGGTGAGCAAGATGTCCACACCTTTGAATTTTGAGGTTGATTGCAAGGAAGTCTTGAGATCAATCACATCCTTAGTACTAAAACAATGTGCAGGAGCTGGATCTTCTGTGGATTCAATTCCACTGAGATAAGCAATCTGAAGTCCTGAAGCTCCACTGAAGACACCTTTGCGTCCTATGCATATAATGGAACATGATTTAGGCCAGAGAATTTGTAGGAAACACACACTACTGTACACTCAAATATAAGGAATACCTAATCCCAAACTATATATTTTAATTGATAAAGTAGTATTTCTGTTTTGTGCTGAAAGATATGAACTTCCCCCTTGGCTAGTCTTTGATTACAAGACACATGCAAATATGTCAGTGATTCACACAATTTTCAACTCTCTTGTGTTGTGGTTTAGCATAATATGTAAATTCAGTGAGTTTGGCATACATAAAAAGTCAAAGAAATGATTGAAGACCTATCACATTTTTTCTTCTTAAGAATGGAGTTGCAAGATTAGATGAACTTGAACCTTACTTCCTTCTCCCTGCTGAATGTTTGAACTAGTCAAACATTACACCTCTGTTTTGTGAGCTGCATTGGTTACCAATCTGTTTCCACATTGAATTAAAGGTACTGGTTTTGACCTTTAAAGCCCTACATGACATGGAGCTGAAGCAGTTGAAGCACTTTCTCTCTCAGATTACACCTGTCTGTTCCACCAGATCCAGCACAGGACCTGTTGTGTTTTTGGCCTCTTTTTTTTGCTGTGACTCTTATTTTATAGAATGTCTCTTCCATTGAAGTAAGGCTGGCTTCATTCCTGGAGGTACCTCCAGACCTGGCTTTGTCAGCAGGCTTGGGGACCCTGGGGAATTGGCAAATATTGAGATGGATCCTAGGTAATTAACAGCTCCTCTTTACCTAATCTTTTTATTCTGTTTGTGCCTTTTATAATTTTAAACTTTTTTTTAGTATTAACAATATTAATATTAATTTGTATATTTTGTTTTTCACTGGGCAGTGTAAAAAATGAATGAATAAATAAATAAAACAAAATGTCTTCTTTCCTGAAGTTTCCAATGCATGGACAGAGACCAGCAGTTTTCCAAACTGCAAATAAAAGCTAGAAAGAACTACAATGAATAGATATATCAACCCTGTTTGGGGGAATAGAGAAACAATTTTGGATACTTCAGAAAATTCACATTCCGATGTTTAAAAAAAGTACACTATTTAAACAAAAAGGGAGTTAGCCAAAGATAGTCACAATCCCAGCAGCAATCATGTCTTTCTTGCCTCCTAGGGGTTTAAGAAGCCCTTTGATCTCAGGAATTATATGAGCCAGTGCTCAGCTATGCCTAGCAAATGCCTACTACATTACCACAAGAAGCTTATATGAGAATCTTGGAGAAGGCAGAAATTCCAACTTCAGCTATTTGTACCCCAAAATTAACTCATAAAAATAAAACTTTCAGATTACCTAGATAAGTGATGTTCTCAGCTAGTTCACATCCGCTGACATCAGGAAAACAACGCACTGTTTCATCATTATTGGCACCCAACACGTATGTCTGTATAGGAGCTAAAGAAGAACCCCCCCCCCACGAGTACAATTAAAGAAAAAAACACACAACAGAAATGCATTCTATGTAGTATGAGCAAAATGTTTTAAGTCAAAGTTTTATTTTATACATTACATTTATTTTAAATTTAAGAAATTCCTTGCTATTCCAGTATATTCTGAGGAAGAATCTTTGTGCTTCATGCAAATGATAGTGAGGATTTCCCCCGTTATCTGCTACTTAAAAGCATCCTCTCTGTATTTTTGAACAGGAGCACAACGGAAATATATAACTACAGTATAATTCTGTTCAGTACAAACTTATATAGCTTCTATTTTAAAAGGATTTTCTCTATTTTTCCTGGGACACAGAAGTCAACTGATGTTTCATTTCTAGCAGGTGCAGCAATCTGCTGTTCTATTTTTCTGTGTATCTGACAGTCACAATTTTGCCTGAATTAAATTGAAAGATTTATACTTTTGAGGTTGTATATGTTCTATGAGCTTCTGAATAAGTAGATTAATAACAAAAACTGTAGTTATACATGTAGAATGTTATGTGATAGCTGTTACATTAGAGTAATGTTTGTTTTGATATGGAAACCAGCAGTATGCACATTTGATTTGTGATCAAAGTATCAGTGGGAGTAGGGAATCAAGAAATATTTTGGTTCAAAAAGGTGGGACAAAGTACTTTATAGAAATGTTAAGAGAATTTTTCTGAATTGGCTTTGGTATGTATACAAATATCAATATTTTTCCTTGTCAAACTTCCTATGGGAAGAAATTTCATTTGTTATAGAAGAGCAGCAATCCAATTTCCTCAAGTGGTACAGCCCAGACATAGTAAGTAAAAATGAGGTCTAAGCTGAAGTGACAGATTTATGAAAAAGATTCTACTACAGGGCTGTCAGTTGCAAAGGCAACAAGTCCGAGTGAACAGTACTTTCCTTACCTTTTTTTGCTCCTGTTTGATAATCTTTCCATTCTGAATCTTGAGCAGAGCCAAAAAAGTTTCCCACACATACAAGGAACTGAAAGAACATTTCATACAATTTTTATAACACTGATTGGAATAACCAAAGCATTCATCGAGATGAAAACACCTCATCTATAAAGCGCTCCCTGAGCTATACATTTGCCTGTTCAATCTGTGATACCACAATGGCCTTCCTAGCTATTTCAGCAAGGGCATTTAAGTATAGTAGTTGTTTATCAGTACTATACAGTTGAATTTTAAAAATGAAAAGAGCTTCAGTGCACATTTACTTATTTTAATATTTTCCCCTTCAGGAAAGATATAAAAATCCTACTTCTTAGCAATTTCAGCTAAAGAGGCATAATAAGCAATTTTTAAAATCAAGAGTTCAGCTAAGGTAATGACTTGAAAAATCTGTATGGACAAAATGCCGTCAAATTTTTGGGATGAAATAATTAGAAATATAAAAATGAACACAATTTTAGGGTGACATAATGAAATATTCTTTCAAAGCAGAAACAAAGGTGATGAATTCAACAAGGATAGTCCCATAGGTGCTTTTTCAAGAGGCAACTAGACTTCTAGTTTTTCTTTTGAAAACGTTTCGCTTCATATCCAAGAAGCTTCTTCAGCGAGAAGTTTCTTGGAGAAGAAGCGAAACGTCTTCAACAGAAGAATCAGAAAGTCCAGTTTCTTCTTGAAAAAGCACCTTTGGTACAACATGACCAGGATGACTGAGAATCTCCATAGACATTTAGCTCAACAAGGGTAGCTTTAATATTATTTGTGTATTTTCTCCATAATGCATTCTGCTGGTTTTTTTTTTAAGTGGTGCATTATTATTGTTTTATCATAATGATGCTTTAAATCAGTTGTAATTCACCTAGAGAATTTGGGCTATTGAGTGGATTAAAAAGTTTAATCTGTTTTAGTGATATAAATAGCCCGGTGCAGTATCAAAAAACTATCGATTTGATATATTGTAGCAAGCTATATTGAAATGTGAGGTTTGGAACTGTATCCTTCCTTATAATTCCATTAGTGGAATTGCCATTGCTAGTACAAGTTCCACCTCCTCTATGCAGTTTCTCAGTTTCTTTAGAAGGTGGAATAAACAAAGTGGTGATTGTCTGGAAAAAAGAAGATAATCCAGTGCTGACATAAACAATGAATTGATACCACATTTGGCAGGTACTGAGACAGACTGGAAGGATTATGTAAGATCTAAGTATGTTTCATTCTGAAGTTTCAGTGCTTGGGGATGTTATCCTATCCTACTTACATCAAATGCTCCACTTTTCTTCTGAACAGCTTGAACCCTGGAATATAAAACTCCAAATTTTCCTTCCACATCTCCACAGGCCAACCTAAGGAAAGAAACCAGCATGTCTCAAGCAGAGAAAAAGCCACTGAATCAACAAACTATGGCAGGGCAGCAGGGGGATAAAATAATCCCCAAAATTACTGACAAAAGGATTCTTAAGTGACTGTTTTGAAAAAAAAATGCAGTCAGGTGGGCCAGAGAACTCAGGAAACATATCCATTCCGCAGGTAGCCAGAGCCCTTGGAAGGAAAGCGTGGGCTTCTCAATCTTTAATGGTTTCAAATGAAGAGATATTCCAGGGGTGGCTATGATGCTCCAGAGTCACATCATTCCCCACTTAGCTTGCCTGGTTTTTGAAGCAGCCAAGATTTTAAAGTCGGTTTTCGGGCACCAAACGGAGACCCAACCTGGGATCTTTTGATCCCTAGATCAAGAAACGCTGCTTTTAAACTATCCCCCCTTCCAAGCGACGCGTGGATTCCAGAGAAAGGAGGTAAAGCTCAGTCCTTTGGGGTCTTTTTTTACACTCCCTTTAAGACCAGGAGCTTGATTTTTATCCTGGCGAGATCCTCACACCCCTATTTTAATAAAGTAAAGGGACTTTCTTTGGCCATCCCTCTTCCCCTCGCCCTTTTCCTCACAGGCGCAAAGGCTTCTCCGGCGCCATCACAACCGCAAGCACTTCCGGCCGCCTTCTCGGCGCCGTGTAACAGGCAAAGGGCTCCGCCGGAAACGCGAAGGAAGCGGGAGGGGGCAGAGTCCGTTCCGTTTTGTTACATGCAGAGGCAAGAGAGGCGGCAGCGACGTTGTGGTGGTGGTGGTGGCGGCAGCAGCGGGGCGGCTTGCGAGGTGTGAGCGGCGGGAGGATGCCTGGAAGCGGTGGTGAGATTCCGACCAGGAGCCGGAGACGCGGACCGGCGGTGTCAGTAGCCGTGACGGCTGGCCTGTTGCTGTCGCTGCTGCTGTGGATCTCGGTCCACAAGGTGGAGGAGGGACACCTGGCTGTCTACTACAGGTGAGTCCGGCGACGGGATCCCTCGTGTGGTTCTAACCTCTATCCCGAGAAGCCTCCGTCCTTCCTTCCCTGGGCACATGATAGAAACCCTACTCAAGAGCGTGGTGTCAGCCTTACTCTGACAGTAGACGCAGTCCTCAACTTACGACCACAATTGAGCCCAACATTTATGTTGCTGAATGAGAAATGTGTTAAGTGAGTTGTGCCCCCCTTTTTACGACTTTCCTCTCATCCTCTAACCTTCACAGCTTCAACTGTCCACCGTGGACCTCACCCCACTCTTAAGAGGTCCATAAAGGGGGTGTGCATACGGGCACCAGCGTGTCTAACTGTCCTACTGTTCCCATTTATTTGTATTCATTTATTTTGTTCATATCCATGTTTATATTTATATCTGCTATTTTGTACATGTTTGACAAACTAATAAATACAAATAACCTGTTTTCCCCAAAATAAGACCTCCTTGGATAATAAGGCCAATCCGGCTTTTGAGCACATGTGCTAAAATAATCCCCCCCGAAAATAAGCTCTCCTCGAAAATATTGTGACACAGCAGCAGCCATGAGGTGACCATGCTCGCCACCTCCTGCACCTCAGAAATAATAAGCCCTCCCCAAAAATAAGGCCAAGTGTAATACCAAAGCATTTGTTAAGTGAATCACTGAAGCTTTTTAATTAGTAACATAGTTGTTCAGTGAACCTGGCTTCTCCATCGTCTTTGCTTGTTGGAAGCCTGCAAAAGGAGATCACATAACCACGGGGCACTGCAACCATCATAATTATGAATCAGTCGTCAAGCATCCAAATGTAAATCACATGACCACAAGAATGCTGCCATGGTTATGTGTGAAAAAGGGTCATGAGTTCAGTGCCGTAACTTCAAACAGTCACTAAATGAAGTCTTGTATGTTGAAGACTACCTGTACTCGACCATCTGCCATGATTTGAGCCTTTCTTTTGAGCAAGCAAAAGGACCCCCTGCCTGACTTCAGTTCTCCGGGTGGTGTTAGGACTACAACTTTTGATACCAACCTCGTCGTGGGGGTTCAGTGAGTTGGGTGTGTAGTGGTGGGTGGTCCTGGTTTGCTTAATTGCACTTTTTAAGCAACTTCAACTGGTTGGGTTCACAGCCTCGTTGATCCACAGTTGACAAAACTCATGGTAACTTATAGCATGATGCATGCACCCAAATGCAGTGTTGTGATCTCAAATACCTGGCCATGGTCCCAGATGGGGGGGGGGGGGGAAGCTGTCCTAGATAAGTATTTCCTAATCTTAACCGTTTTAAGATGTGTGGACTTCAACTCCCAAAATAGGAAGTGTTCTAGGAGTTGAAGTTCACACACCTTAAAATGGCTACCGTTGGGAAACACTGTCTTAGAACAAACAGGGCTCCACCCAGAAACACTTATCTCAGAAATAAAGGGTGGCTTGTTCTGTTTTGTTCCTGAAAAGGTGTGAAACTACATTGGCTCTCTCGTCTCTTGTTTGTGCTCTACTCCTGAAGAGGCCTAGAGCCAGACTAAGTTGGCTAAATGCACAAGGCACCTTGTACATATTGTGTGCCTGCAAATTTGCCCCTTTACCTGTACTCTTCAGCTATCTGCCAATAAACCAGTGGAATAGCTTGCCTCCAGAAGTTGTGGGTGCTCCATCACCGGAGGCTTTTAAAAAGAAACTGGACAGCCACTTGTCTGAAATGGTATAGGGTCTCCTGCTTGAGCAGTGGGTTGGACTGAAAGACTTCCAAAGTTCCTTCCGACTCTGTTATTCTGTTCCAAACCACTGGGGTACGGTATTACGAAAATGAGTTGGACAGATGAAATAAATGCTTGCTGTGACTTTTGTTTTATAAGAAAGTTGTTCTCTCTGACCTCAGTTCATGCTTATTTTCTTTCTCTTTGTATATACTTTATTATAGGGGAGGTGCACTGCTCCCTACCCTGAGCAGACCAGGCTATCACATCATGATCCCAATTCTCACAACGTACAGATCAGTACAGGTTTGTGTAACTGCCTTGGTCGGGAAACAGCAGAGGGAGGGAAAACAGCAGAGGGAGGAAACAACAGAGGGAGGGAAAACTGCTTTATGTCTTTCATTTAGTTAGCGTCAGGGCAGAATATAATTCATGTTTTTGATACTTGCGGTTGTATCCTGCTACTACTAAAAATCGACCACAGGTTAATATGTTACTAGAAGTAGGTAATGGCTAATGCTGCAGTACAGATAAATACTTATAAATAAGCTTACAGCTCTCACTTGCATGCTTGATCTTGCTAGTTGCTTGAAGATAAAAAAGAATTGGAGAAAAGAAGGGAGAAAAAAATAACAATTCATCAAGTTCCTTGTTAGCAATTCCCCGGTTTTCCTGGATTAAATGATAGATTGAAGGAATTGTGTATAACGTCTGAGAGGGAGGAGTGATATCTTGATTTATGATCAGCTACTTGGTGATTATTTGAAGTTACAGCTGGCTCAAAGAAAGGGACTCATGACCCTGATTCAAAGTTTTGACGGGAGTTTGTCAACACGGCTTCATTTACAGGCTTATGCAATGTCCTGTCACATGACCGTGTTTTGCAATGATTTTGCTAAAAAAAAACCACAGTGTTTTTTTCAGCAAAATCATAACCTTAGTGAACTATTGGTTCATGTAAGGACTGTGGCAATAGTTTTACAACCACTGGGTTTGCTTTATGATGGCCACATTTGCTTAATTTAGGATTACCAGAAAAAGATCCTAAAATTGGGTTGGTCACATGATGACTGTTTTACAACCGTCACAACATATGGCAGTAATGGGTAGGCTCCATTGTGGATGATTACCTATAGGAAAGTTGTAATTATCTGGTGAAAAGAAAGTCAAAAGTCATTAATTTTTTAACTTTAAATTCTTCTTGTCCTATTCTTTCCTGTCTTTTATTCTATGGGGGGGGGGATATTAAGGGAATTTTTAAAGAGACCTCCATCATCTCAGTTTCTTGATCTCAATCTCATGCCAAAAATGAACTGCAATTCCTGCTTAGATATTGGAGATGGTGGTTGGAGCACTTGTAACTCTGTGGGACTGAAGTTTTTGAAGTTGTTTCTCAGAAAAAGAGCAGAATGTTCCTGAAATTTTGTTTGTTTCCAAAATGTCAATAATAATTGATAGATTAGTTAATCTTACATTCTGCAAAGTCTTAGATGATCAATGTTGTTTTTGTCCCCCCCCTCCCCCCAGACAACATTGCAGACAGATGAAGTGAAAAACGTACCATGTGGGACAAGGTATGTTGTTGTGTTGCACTTTGTATTGTGTTTCTGGCCTCGCTGAGAAATACACCACTAAGATGTGTAGTAGAAATGGTTGAGCCACAAGGTGGAAGAGTAGAAGGTGTTAAATCTTCTCTTTGGTAAAAATTGAAAAAAGGGGAGTAATTTTTATAATGCAGCCTTCTTACTGAACAGTTCTAAGGTGTGTGATATTTCAGCCTTCCTTCTGAAGACCAATCTCACAAAGATAAAAAAAAACTCTGCAAAAGTTGGAGGACCATATTTTATAATCCTGGAGGACCATAGTTTATAATCCTGATTTTGTGGACTTAGTATTATTACCAGTGAGTGTATTGTCAGAAAAGCACACACTGGATAGTTTTTAACCATGCAAGTATGTATGTGCAATGAAGGAAGAGCTTTCTCCTTATTTTCTTGCAGTGGTGGTGTCATGATCTATATTGACCGAATTGAGGTGATGAATATGCTGGCACCATATGCAGGTATTTCCCTTTTTCCTTTAACAGAAAACAAACGCTTAGAGGAAAGACAACTCTTGGGGTGCCTCAAGTTTGGGAGGGGAGCTTCAAAGCAAGATCAGAGGTGGGAAGATAGAAGGTAGGCAAGTACATGAGAGAAATAGGAACGGAAGCTATGCAGTTTATTGCTCCTAAAAGGAGGATGCGTTCAACTATAGTTGGCTTGTTATGTTTGATATGACAGTTGGGTTCATAAAGATTTCTGTATTGCTAACTTGGGAAGTGCTAGAAGTTATAAAATCAACTAAATCAATATTTTCTGAACAAATGTTCAGAATCTGTTTTGTTTTGGGATGGACTTACAAATAAAAATTATAAACAAATCCAGAGGACACCAGATTGGATTGAGGCATCTTACTGTAGAAACTTGCATGTATTGTGTGTTTGTGGGAATTGCAGGAGCATTTTGATGGGCATTGTGCAGAGGGAGGTGTGTTGGGAGAGGGAATGGACCATTTCTAAGAAGGAGAGGTTTTGCTTCTTACACTGAGCCCCCTTTCCCCACATCTGCATCCTAGTTTTGAGCCCAAATTTCAGGTCATCAGATCCTTAGTGTCTCTGGGCTTTGGTTATTTATACTTAATGCCAGGTTGGCCTCTAATAAGTCCTTCCGCATCCATGAGAGAGTAATTGTAATGGCAATTACCAAATCTGATTGGACACAGTGTTGTTCCTTTCTTGGAAATGTAAAGTTGGGTGCAGTATAAGGGAGCAGGTGAGATTGCTCCTGGACACCAGAATCTCTTGCTGCCTAGCAGGTTCTTTTCCTGAATTGCTTAATGCCAGGATGGTGATTAAATAGCAATAGCACTTAGACTTATATGCCGCTTCACAGTGCTTTTACAGCCCTCTCTGAGCGGTTTACAGAGATAGCCTATTGCCCCCAACAGTCTGGGTCCTCATTTTACCACCTTGGAAGGATGGAAGGCTGAGTCAACCGTGAGCTGGTGAGATTTGAACTGCTGAATGCATCTAGCAGTCAGTTGAAGTAGCCTGCAGTACTGAACTTTAACCACTGTACCACCATGGCTTAAATGTTCCCTAGACTGCTAGTTCTGGAGAATTTCAACCTTAAAGTGTCTTGGGTGTTTGTAGCCTGTCCCAGATGATTGAGGACCTGACTTACAATGTTACTACATATTGGATCTGTTTTTTGTCTTGGAGCAGAGGTGATACGATCTGAAGTGGGTTTGCATTTGTTTCTTGTCATAGCTAAACCACTCTCTGATGCAGCTATCTGGTGTTGCCCCCCCCCTTTCTACAGATGGGATTATCAAATTATACTGCCCCCAGTGCCTGATGATGTCTGTTTTCCAGAGGGCATTTGAGGAATTCCTTGAGTCTTTACCATGTTTCCCCCGCAAATAAGACAGGGTCTTATTTTCTTTCGATCTTTCTTTATTTTCTTCTTGGCCTTATTTTTGGG